TTCCGGCTCATTACTGATGTAGGAAAGACGATGGGATAAATTGTTTGGAGACGTAATTGAACTGTCATACTGAAGGATTATGTATCCATGCAATTAGCGAGGACGACTATTGATTGATCATAAACAAAGCTTTAGGCACTATACATTCCATTGTAAAAACTCTTAGTTATTGTTCTGAGGCAGTTTGTGCCGCTCATCTTGTTTATGCTGGCTATTCTCGAGTTAATGGAGCAAATTTATCGGCTCCTCTAAAAAAAGAGAGTGGGACATTTGACCTTGACGCACTAACCTAGGCTACGCTATTCAAAATTTCTCCTTTCGCGGAGAAAATCGCACATAATCACTCTATAACTACTTCCACTTCATTCACAGTGAAGTACTGACATCCAGGACATGCATATAAAACTTAATATTTCAATTTTTTTGGGTCATTGCTGATGTAGGAAAAAATAGGTAATAAATAGTTGAAGACGTAATTGATCTGTCAAACCGAAGGATTGTGTATTCATGCAGTTAGTGAGGATGAGTATTGATTCCTCGTAAACAAAGCTTTAAGCAATATAAATTCCATTATAAAAACTCTTATCTTACTGCTCTGAGAGGTAGCTTCTCATCTTCTTTTTAGTGTCACAAAAAGCAATAAAATAGCCTTCATGTAATTTTAACAATGCTATCGGCTTTTTAGTGCCACTTCCATTCTATCAGCGTGCAATGCAACCTTAGAGAGACGGTATCCTCGAGTTGATGGAGCCAATATATTGGCTCCTCTAAAAAAGAGTGGGACATGTGACCTTGACGCACTAACCTAGGCTACGCTACTTAAAATTTCTCCTTTCGCGGAGAAAATCGCATCATCTGCACACAATCACTCTATAACTACTTCCACTTCATTCACAGTGAAGTACTGACATCCAGGACATGCATATAAACCTAACCTAGGCCACGATATTCAAAATTTCTGCATCCGCTGACAAAACATCATCAGCCACGCATAAACATCACCACAAAGTCATTCAATATTCATAAATCGTAATCATCACGAGGATGATCATTCCGTAATAACTTTCACTTCATTCACAATCTCCACCTACATCCTGACTATGGTAAGTCAACGGAATTCATCAAGAAAATCTGAATAATACGGAAAAATATGTCTGCATTGTATCTAGGTGGTAGGTAGACGAGGTGAGTAGGCCAAGGCTGGACATGCGGGTCTACGTCGTAGCCGGGATATCTTTCTTCCAGCTTGTTTACTCGTTCACTCTGTCTGCACATTACCAGGGCTCTGTTGTGAACACACTCACGTACATTGTGTAGTTATTTATACACAACCTACGCCAATGATACCCTCTCAATACACCGGCCAACGATGCTTTCTCATGGGAGCAATTAGAGTTTATGTTCATTCTTTTCGCAGTCTGTACTTGTTGGCGTTTTTGCGCAGTTTCGAATTCTTATTGTAATGAGCACTTCAATAGAGGATAGGATGACAATAATATGTGACATATGGTCTGCATCTCGATGATGATTATTCAAGGATAGCTAGATGTAGGGAAGACACAGGTGGATGCTCGACAATTATGGAAAAGGTCATATTAATCATCGTTTTGGAATCAGAAAGGAACAGAAAATAATATTTTCTAGGGGAAGTAGATCAAATCGATGAAAAGCACACTTTTTTCTGAATCTGATGTTTTCAAACCGAAATTCAATTTGACATGATCATTATGATTGTCAACAGCGATAATATGCCTTTCACTCCAAGAAATGTAATCTCAGTCCACCAAAACCTTGAAGAAAAATCGACTACTGGTGGAACCATTCCCTTTGCGTGCAACATGATCTTCCAAAGGTCCCTTTCCCTCAACATAACAAGGGTTACTCAACCAGGAATTCTCATCAAGACTTGTTTTGCTTTCTTTTCCCTCTCAAATAATCGAAGATAACCCAGTAATCATCACACATATATCGACTATTCCCTGCCAGCCGAAAAAGCTTTACTGTTCATACACCCGTTCTGCCGTTTTTTTTTTGAGACACACCTTCCTGGCACTGTAACTGCATTATGGGACGGCGTCCGAGGCAGGGCGCCCGTGGCTGTATCGTATCCCAGCAATTATCGGTGCTAAATTTTTACGACCTACCGGGTGGGGTATAATACATTTGCCAGAAGGAGAAGAGTGCGGCTGATGTTATAGACCTCCACCAAATTGCGATATTCATTTTAACTCATTCAGCGAGGTTGTACGAGGAAAGACGGAGGAGGGATGAAATTTGGGAAAGAAAGGGAAGTTTCGGACTTCAGTTTGCATTCTGTAAGGATTGTTCGCGGCATGATGAAGGCAGATTATCGAGAATGAAGCAGATTTGGAAATTATGATGCACAAGGGGGTTAGATCGACATTCTAATGTCGGCTTTTCAACGTGCTTGTTAAACTTCATCGTTCTGGGGGGATCAAGTGCATGGAACTGGTATGTAATTCTTTCGGAAGTTGAGGGTATCATCAGTGGTCAATAACAGCGAGTTTGGAAGTGGAGTTGTAACCTTGTCAAAGTTAGAAGAAAAGTAGGGAAATTTTTAGAGGAAGTTTGCTGTTTTGTTTGAGTTACCAATTGACGATTCTGTTCAGCATCCTTTGAATTAATCTCGTCCATTGTGAGTAGGGATTATGAATACATAGATCCAGATTTTTTAGTGCCAGTACTTATATCAAAGGTTCTTGTCCTTCACTCGAATCTTATGAACAAAAGAGTTAGTCTATGAAATGAAGGAACTTTTGACTCCTTTTCAAGACATTCGTGTCATCAAATTTTGCGGTTTCTCCCCAAACTTTTGTGTCTAGTTTGTCACCAGTTTTTTACAGTGAGCCACTTACATATGGACTCATGACGAATAACTTGGGCCTTTGCGACATGTGAGACCCGTGAGAATGCCAGCGTCAAGAGAGAGTCAAGAAAGGATTGAGAAGAGGTTGCTTGCACAAAACAGAGGAGAGACAAGAGCATATGACAAAGATCAAGTGTATTTTTACCTGGTCCGTCCACATGAAAATATTGGAAAAATTGTCATGGCTGATGAGGACTGCAGAAGCTGCGGTGTCATGCAAACAACGTCAAAGGGTGCTTTCACGGCCGATAATTGTTAACTGGACTGTGCTGGGATTCGACCTTTCAACCTTCTGACCAGCCAACCCTGGTAGACGAGCCAAGGGCAATCTCAGACGGCACGAGTCGAGCGTGATGAAGCCGGAGACTGCCTTTATTGTGTCAATTTAAAAATATATTGTCGCACAATCCACTTTTGCTACCGACGGAGGGACGAGAATACCTAGACGTGATATTTATATTTTATCCACTTTGGGAAGATGGGCGGGTGAATTCGCTTGGGAATAATAGTAACATCCCGTACTTGGGATGTCAAGGAGATGAAACGCGGGAAATATGAATTGATGACGAAAAGTTTTGGGGGTTGATCTGAGTGGAGGAGTAATGCTGATGTTTATGTTGAATTTTTTTGGCTTCTCTGGTTCATGGGTGTTTATGGTATTTTACAAATTGTGGGATTTATGGATATGGGTATTTATTCTTGGAAGACCCACGCTATGATATTATTTTTTATTGTTCCTGCTTTTAAGGTGATTGTTTACCGGATGAAAATAATATTTTCATCCTCTTTCAATGTTTTATGAAATACAGAGCTTCAAAAGTTCCTAGTTTCCAGTCAAAGTCGCTGAATTTCAGATGTATAATTTTACTCGTTTTAAAATTTTCCTTAAAAATCAGACAAAAAATTTCTTATTCTCAGAAAATTCTTTCTTGAATTGATTTTTTTTCCATCTCAATGTAATTCATAACATTTTTGTTGCTGCAAATATATATCACCTGACAACTTGACTCAATTAATCTCAAATTAGCCCTAAACTTCATTTCTTTCGAGAGTTCTTAATCTAAGAATATTCTCCGCATTTTAAGGACAACCATGTTAGAACCATAAGTTTTTCAAAATCTGTAATTTTGTCTTGGAAGCTAGAAACTTTTTTTCTCTGTGCAATGAAGAATATTAGAATCCCAAATTTTGAAAGCATTCTATGAAGAATAATCTTCCCGACGTCTCAATTTTCAAAACAAAAAGGTCAATATTCTTCAGTTGTTAGTAAATTAAATCGATATCTCACATATGCGCCTCGATATTCCGTATTTGAACTGGCAGTCTAGAGGTTATCACATTGCACTCTTAATGCAACGACAACTCTCAATTCATTCGCAGCATTCAGTGTTTCCACGATTGACATTCACGTGTAGTCACACGCATTCTATCTATACGATAAAAAAAAGATGAACTTTTCGCGTTCATCTTGATTAAAATAGGAAAATTGTACAGATTGTCAAATCATGACAACACTCGCCTTCTCTATCGCTTTTTGAAACCACTTTTCAACCTTTCACATATAATCGTATAATTTATGTTTCTTTACACCCTCACCTTTATGGTGTCGAACGATGGCCACCGGATCGCGTAAAATGAGCTGATTTATCACGTTGTGACAGTGGTCGAGCCCAGATTGTACGAACGAAAGGATATAGGGCACAAGAGGGGCTCCTATTCGGCACCTGATTTATATCATGATGCTTTTATATTCGTAGCAGTTGTGTTATTGTTTAATAATTATCCAATTAATGTTGAAAACCTGATTCTGGATGCCTTGCTAGCTTCAATGGAACCTTTTGTGATTTTGAGGAACGAAATCTCAAGTGGGTCAACGAAAAAATGCTCAATGACTTTTGCAGGCTTTTTGATACTAAAAAATCCATCCTCCTATCAGAACCTGAAATATACAAATTAATCATTCATTATATGAAATCCTTGAATTGGGTCTTCAATATCAATCATTGTGATCTGAAAACTCGTAAAAGCGATCTAATTAATTGTTATCATCATGAATAGTTCACCAATTGACGTTTCGACGATTTTGTTATCATAATTATCTTGAACCTTTCAGATTGGTTTCCAAAAATGTGCTCCTGCTTGGAGGGTGGCACCCTGGGATCTGTCAATTTTCCATCTGGTCAGTCCAGAAGCTACAAGCGACTTGGTTCCGGGCCAACTCTGTTCGATCTCAGTGAGTTGATGCAGAGAACGAGAAAAGCCGAGCTTTTGCAGGATGAAACGATTGATGATGAGAGACAGGTATATCAGGTGCTTCGGCTTAAATGGAACTTCTTTATCTCACTAGTTCCACATGAATTTATTCCTTTCATATTGCATATTTTTCCGTCTAAACTTGAATATCTTCTTCAAGGCTGAGATCACGTTCTACAATAGCGATTTGACGTGGAATATGATCGTCGTTGAGAAGAATTTACGTACAATGGATCTTTGTGAACTGCTCAAGGTGAAGAATAGAGTCAGTGGGATGGACTGGTCGATTGTGGAAACCTGGACGGAACTTGGAATTGGTGAGTACTAGCCTTTCACATCATATTTCAAACCGTTATGCCCTCTGTAAGGTTTTTAAATGATCGTTGATGATCTTCAGTTACTCAACTTCTAATTGTGTTTCCTTTTAATGTGCTGCTATAACCAAGATTTTCCTTTCTCTCTTCATGCTCGAACAAATCAATGATGTTGGGTGATCAATGAATACTCGAGATTGCTGATTTATATGAAAAAGGTTCAATCATTAGAACAATTCTCACAATATCCCCCTTGATAAAATCAGTACTTCCTCCTTTTTCTCAAATGACTTCCCCCACGAATAATGCTTATCAAGCCATAAGTCGTTAAACATTTCTGGCCCTCGAAAGCTCTCTCATTACAACCTCATGACGAAATTTAAGTGCTCCACGTCCGATCAACTCGGACACCGTTTAACCGTTAGAGATCCTCCTCGTGCTCAAGCTTCCTTACTCATTAACACAGCTTTTATCCTCTCATCGACATTTTCACGTTTCAAACTCCGAGTCTAATTGCTCTTCTCTACTCATTTTCATTACCATCATCTTCCTTTTTCCAATATCAGTAAACTTTGAAACGATTATTAAGAAAGTTTATGCTGAAGGATTTATGCTGGGGTATTCCTGTTGAGATTCTCCTCGCATTATCGTCGAGGCTTGCACTGCGGCTCATCGAGCTTATCGCCGTAACTTTGGGCTCCAGCAGTCGTAGGGGTTGATGGGAAAATATAAGAGAGCACTTTCAGGTGCCTCTCTATTTCGCTTCTAGGATGACAGGCGGAAAAAATCATGAAATGAGATGTAGGAGAAATGGGTCGGCATGCACATAATGCAGACAATTCTAAGATGATTTTCAAGGAGTTAAGGCTATATTATCGTAGAAGTTATGTTATTTTGACGACCTGGAGGTCAACTTATCGCATAGGAGAAGTAAGACAAATGGAACGCTTATCATTATATTTATAAACTCCAATATCTCTTGAATTTCGTAGCTTTCGGCAGGTGTTTCAATAATGATATCAGCCACAAACAACTTATCATTTGCCAGTGTCAGTGTTGGGAGTGGAATTGAAGGCCCGTAATTTCACCAATCCTAGAGTATAACTCTTCAATGGCGATAATTCAATTAGAAAAAAGCAATGAGTGGTCAGTACCGAGGCCTGACAATGCCATTGTAAAGAGTCACATCAAAGTTGATATTTAACCAATGTTCATAGAGTAACGTATTGAGGTTTTATATCATTTCTCCGGTTACATTCCTAACCATTACGGGACTACTCGTCACAATAGATTGCTACTAATCATTCATTTTAACCACTAACCCATCATCTAAAAATTGTTGTCATTGATATTATTCACCACAAGATTTCGTTCCTTTGAGGATTTTGACCTGCATCTATTTGTGTAACCCATTTTTCCACTGAAACATTTCAGATGCTCACTCATTACTGTATCGTAATCTTCACAATAACCAACATTTATCACATGATTATACTTGAAAATGCTACCAACGCCGAAGTCATATTCATGGTCATTATTAACCAAATTAATTGCAATAGTTTGTAATTGATTCAATGATCATCTCACGCAGAAGTCCTGATAAACCTGTATAACCGCTAAGAGATTGTGATTGGCGGCAGAGTCTCGCGCATGCGCAGTCAATACGCGGGAATCGACTGAAGACAGGTGTATATATGTGCCCATAGTACTACGAGATGATGCGCATGCACGTGAGTGGAATGGCCATGATAACCGTACGAGGTGAAGCGATACTCATGGTTTCGTTTGTATGGGTGGGTTTAGTTGAAAGGAGAGAGACAAGGAGGGAGACAATAATATATCTGCACATGCGCAACAAAACAGACGCCCGGCGAGCGACGCGGTTGGGAGGGAGGCGGGGGTAGGGTAATAACGTCTCGTAGGGCATCGTCCTGGCTTCGATGTAAACATTCAGACGATAACAGTGGCACAAAGGCTAAATATGAAAGAGAGAATAAGTGGAGGTGGGAAATATAATGCTGGAGAACAAAATGGCGAATGTCGAGAATTCGAAGCCGGTTCGGGGAGGAGTTATTTTTGGGAATTCATGAGAGCGGCTGCTGGTCGATCATTCGGGATGAGAGGATTTGTTGAGGGGTTCAGTAACTGGAGATATAGTTTATGATGGAGAGGTGGATGTCTGATTCACTGGGTGAATCTAGTGGATTTGTATTGTTGAAATTGGGGGAGGGAAATACTATTGACAAACTTTTCATAAAGCATGTTTCGCAGTTTCTTCTGATGGAAAAGGGGAAATGGCGAATGTATTTAGGATTGACTCCAATTCTCACAATGGAGAATATTTTCTGTAGCCATGGGGTCCTTTTTTCAAAACGGCTGAGAGCAGAATGGAGGAAGAAGTTTTCTTTGTGTTGGGGCGAAAGATTTGAATAGGGAGAACTTTATCGGGAGAAAGTTTTTGTGTTGATGTTAGTGGAGCTTCTGGAAAGTTAGGATTGTGGTGTTTGTCATTGGGATTGAATTTCTTCTGAGCTCCTTTGCAATATGTGAAGCCTTTCAAATATTGCTGCTGTACTTGTGATGAAGTAGTGGTTGATTAGTTTTGGAATTAATGGGAAAGTTGCTATTTCAGGTATCCTCCATTGATACTATAGCCAACTTTGTCGTCGGGCGTGGAGACTTCACACCTGACATTGACCTTACGAGTTGTTACTTCGAAGTTTCAAAGTAGAAATTGGGTCTTCCAATTTACTATCAGAATTTCACGGTTCAGAGGGTGGAGTACACAGTAAAAAATCGGGATAGATTTTAGAGAGTAAACAAACCTAGAAAATGTAAAATTTCTACTGATTTTAAGTAGATTTTTCTTAAAGATCAGCCAAAGAAGTTGAAATTCTCTCTCATTTTTGCCACAAACTAGTACAATTATACTTCAATTAACCGATATTTCAATTAAGTTCAAGGAAATCTCGATTCCTGACTTCAGAACGTTGAATTCTCAAATTAAGGATATTCTCGCTCTGTATAAGTAATTATGAAATTTAGTATTATGTGATATGTCGCTCTCCGACGAGAACCGCGAATTTTCCCATTATATTCCGAGGTCGTTGTATGTTGATATTAGGTTGATCCTCAAGGACGTGAGGTATCATGGCGGATGGAGGTGGCTGAGAAGTCTTTTCTATTTTATTTTTCGGAAAAGCCTAGTATCTCGTTTTCCAACCCTTATTGTAAACCATTATTTTCTTCTGAAAGGTAATCCTCAACAAGATCGCGGCCTTGTTATGATCACCAGGATAGACTTGCATTCGACTCCACAAATAGCAGCGAAAGTCAATGTTTTGGTTGGGAGACCTCAATCCACAGCGCCCTGCGCAATCGATATTCACAAATTGGGTGTGTTGTGGTTGTCTCAGGTCAGGAAAGTCCTTGATTGTATATTTATGAAGCAGTGATACTGGTCTTATCCGAGATAGGTTCGACGCCACCAAGAATTAAGTTAGTACAGCAACCACGGTTTTAATGATCAAAAGGCTATTGTCAATCTTTGACAACTATTCTTCTTCGTAGAAACTTGGTTTATTCCGAAATCCCTAATTACTTTATTAGTTCAATTAGAATTCTCATTGATATTCCCGGAATTAATGATCATCCGTCAACGAGCGATCGTTGAAAAAAAGCCACAATAGGTTGCATGTATCACGTGAATTATGTCCGCCGCTTGCTTTTATATTTTATTTCCATGAAACTCTATCTGCATAATTGGCGTAACATTTTAATGAGGGCCTGTGGAACGCACGAGGTTTATCCCAAGTACCTGATACTCCTTTTTCAAATATTTTAGAATCCCAGACATTCAGGAATGAATCGCCATTGATTTATTCACGAGCATCGCGCGCATCCGGAGTATATTCTTGCAGAATGTACTCGAAATCAAACATGCTGCTACATCAATATATTTACCGATAATTCACCCTCTATTTGCAATTGATTAAATTCCTTTTCGAAGTTCCAGAATGAAACATCAAGTATTTGATAGTGGTATCACATGATAATTCTTGGATTATCAATTCCATGAAACGAAATATCGAATCTTATTGTATCACTGATTCTATATTTTTGCTCTTAATATTTTTTCAGAACGAACATTGGAAGATCATGAGGATATACTCGGAGTTTACAAAGAAATGGAACTCTTTGCGTCTCATCACGAAAGGAGATTCTTCTTCCAAAGAGATTTCATGAAATATGAATTATTCATCAATCCAAAGGTACGTTGAATCCCTTTTTAGAAAGTCATTTTATTGAATACATTGGTAAAATGACTGACATGATCATAAATATTTACATTCTGATGGTTCATAACAAAGCTGTTGGTCCCTCAGTAGGTAAAGTAGACCACTGTATAATTCTATTTACCGACTGAAGGTAACGTTATCAGTAGAAGATACATCAGACTTGCCGAGTGGTGATAAAGTAGACATCCATTCATTTACCATTTGTGGGCCTAACAGAAACGCATTTCAACCTAGACTGAATCTTACTTTCCTTGCCTAAATTTAAACTTATCTATCGTGGGACACATTATAAAACCAACAAATATGCACCTGTGGTAAAATATTTCAAGTCATTTATATCACCAATAAATCGTCAATCTATACAGATAGCCGATGTCAACCTCACGCTATCGGCATTTTTAATTGAACTTTTGGCAAGAATGTTGTCCTATTAATGGAGTATAATTAATTATAACCGTCAATATTGCGTCGTCAGTTAAAATTCATGCAAGTTTGATATGTTGCCTTCATCCACTCATGCTATCAACTTGAAGTGGAATGTGCAATTAAAAAGAGATTAAAAAACCATAAAGGTGTACGTTTCGCTGATGTTGTTACATTGCAATTCAAATTATGGAATCATTCTCCATACATCAATGACAATGAACTGCCACTTTAAACCCACACTAGCGCATTACAAGATGTGTCTCAACAATTACTTATAATAATACAGGTTATTTCTTATTATACGTTACAGCAATTCTTTTCACCCGATATGGTAGCACTACCCAACTTCGAGGAGAGAAATTTCATGAGCAGCTTCGAGAGTAAACTCAAAGTGAGACCAATTACATAAAGTGAATTTCTTGTTCCCTCTTCCATTTTGTTTTCATGCCCGCTTGAATAAAGTCTCGAGTGGTGAATTGATGATGGGGGAGTGAATGAGAGAACTGAATCCATTGAAATGACTCTCTTCGTAAAACAATTGTTTTCTTGAAAATTGCAGGATCACCTCATGCGAAATGATATGGAGTGTCCCATCGTGTTTAGTACTGTCTGGCTGAGGGGTGAAAATTCACATATTTGGAAGAAAACGTATATGATGCTGCAGGACAGAAAATTATACATCACGAAGAAGGTGAGTGGTTTATGATTCAAGAACTTTCATCAGTATTTTTTGTTATATATCATCGAGGGTCAATAGTAATCGCATATAACATCAGTAGAACTGAAAGCGTTGCGCATAAAAGTTATTCTCAGATGCCTTTCCATAATGGCAAAAGTATGTAAATGATGTTACTACAGTAAATAATGTTCTATGAATTGCGATTGAGGCTGTCTGAAGTGAAGTATGCTTTGTTCATACAAAACTAGGGTCGAATGGCGCCCGTCGTTATGCGAGATCGCGACTAATTAGCGCTGTAGCGCTGGGATTGATTCTTTACACAAAGGATATACATTATGGCTCATAATCAAGGGAAAATTGACTTGAAAAGTGAGGGAGCCTAGTATAATTGAAGCCTATCCATTAACCTTCGTGTTTCCAATTATAAAACAAAATCCGATTCATTGAACAGAGAAGAGTTGATTCTCTCAACTATTCATTACTACCAACCATCATCCATTCGTTATTCTCCATGAAATGAGTATTTCTAAAACACAAAACCATGACAGTGTAAATCAACAGCTGGAAATTGTCGTTTGATTGGATGTAGTTTGAATATTTCAAAAGCCTGTGAGGAAAATGTCAAGCCACTTGCAACACGCGATTGTCAATGAATAGTTCCATCACCCAGAATTGAGTCAATTTTCTCGTCTATCTCATTGATTATGAATCCATCACGTTTGAACTCTGTACTTTTTTTTCTCTCTCTCTTCTGGGCACGTACACAATTCGGTTTTCCTGTATATTTGAAACGTGAGCACGACAATTGCCATCATTTCCGATTCTCTCAGTCCTCTTGTTCACCTCTTTTCTCTGCGGCGTATGAATGTTCCATAGCGCATTTCCTCATTTCCACGTTTTCCAATCGTGTAATCTTCGTCGATTTTCCGCATGAGTTTTTGGCTAAATTGAACACGGGTTAATTACTTTTTTTTAAGGGAAGCACGAGCTGTCCCTGAAAGGAGAAAACATTCATTGATGATGAATTATCGTTGAGGCAATCGTTTCCCTTCATTAATCCAAAATGTTTGGACTCAGTATTAAACATTACCCTTTGGCGTTCGTGGCTGCAAGCATGATTTGATTGCAAATGGAAAAAAAAACATTCACTAATGACGAATCATGATTGATGGACAATTTTCCTTCGTCGATTAAAGAACATCTCTTTCAATATTAATCATGTCGTACTCAGTGTATTCTGCCTTCGGAGGATCATTCATCAGATCCCCATTCGACCTATCTTCCACCACTGGCGTTCATCTCGGAAAAACTAGTATTGTTTCACCATGTACTGTGTCGATTTATCGATGGTTGCTCAACGGAGCATGCACCGGGACTCTTAATCACTGGCAAGCGGCAATAAACCGCGCCGCACGAAATTCTCTTGTCCCGGCATTCGCAGTGCGATCCCTGAATTTACAGCCAATTGGTTACATCGCACTATTTCTCACCATCCCACCCATTCCATCACCATGAATTTAGAGCTTTTATAAGCGTTGTAATTGCAATAGCATAGAAAAGAAAATCCCTACGGTTGCTATGGAGACCCACCTGTACAATTTAACTGGTTTATATCAGCTAGATCACAGAATTGTTATTCATATCTGTCTGTATACCGGTTCATTCCCTTTTTACCCGCACGCGCGGTATGCCAATCGATAGCCAAGCTTTCGGCAAAGCACCAGCAATATTATATCGAATTGTTGGTGATAGCCCATTTTCCCTCATAGTAACGCTTGTTCCCTTCAGTTATGGCTCTCCACTTTTGATCCCAGGGCTTTTGTCGACGTATGTGGTTAAATCAAAATGAAAATTCCGGGGGGATGGTGCGCCTTGTATTAAACAGACTCAAATATTGATAGCTTCTTCACATGTATGACTTCTCATGTATTGGCAGGAGCAAATCATTGCTCTCCAGGTTAAGCAACTAGTTGTAAACATTTTATGAGAAATTCTTCAGATGAATGGTCTCCCCATGTTTCATTTCTCATTGATGATCATGGAACCGAAGGAAACAGAGGATTGAAGACTCTTCAAATTCATTGAAAGGACGCTGACCAGTCACCAATCGTACGAGTTATAAACGGCTTGGTGCTCGTATAGACTGCCCAAAGGGCCCGTTCAACCGTTTCTGATGTCTCTTTTCACCGGAATCCAGTGATTGAAGTTGGTCAAAGGACAGGAGAATAGCAAGTTTAATGAATATCGTTTCCGGGTAACATAACCCTTCTCATGTTTTATACCGCAATAATGGTTAATTATCAAACAAGATCGAGGATGATAATGGAAGACGACCGTAAATATCATTGATATATGAGTAGCAATGTAACAATACACTACAGTGAGAAATAAAATTGTTGAATGTTGGTGGAAGTAAGCAGCGGGGAAATGGTGAAACTCAAGTTTCGCGACGCAAGGAAACGGAGGGCGAGCATGCTGCTCGGCAGTATTTCAATCCTTGATAATATATAGCTCGGGGGAATGACGCTTTATTGCTGCAACGATAACTCTGAGACTCCGGTGCGGAGGGGTGAAGGAGGAGGAGGGAGGAGACTGTACGGGTCATAGTAACTGCTAAGCTACACGGGTGAACCGACGCTGGCGGCTCTGGCGATATGCAGTCGCGTGATTACTACCGAGAGAACTACCGAACGTCTTTAATCATGCTACTGTACGATTTTCAAGATTTTGTCTCGTTTAATTGCGAAATATCAGGGCCTTTCTTCTTAATGAATTTCTCGTGGAGAAGCATCGAAAGATTCATCGAAAGCTAGAATGGCTTTCGTGCAGCAAACACTCCTCCTATTGTACGAATTGCCAGTCGTCAAATTGAGTTGTGAGTAGTTTCATTCGGTGGTAAATGGATTTCATTCCCATTGAATAATGCCCGCTTCATTTCATTGGATAATGGCGTAACAAGGTGTAGCTTGATTGAGCGACGCGCTTCTATAGTGTCATCACACGAGTCGTCTAGTTAATGTCGTAATTTGGGGAAAGCTGAGTGGTGGAATGAGGTCAGCTTTTTGAGATTGGTTATTCTTATTCAAGTTTATACTGGATCGTTATGGACTGCGACCAAAGGCTTCGTGTTACTATCTCAAAGCAAGCTATCCGTCATGATAGTACTGTAATAAGGACCTCAGATAATGATTCTTATCGCAACACGTTTACATGGTTCCTCATAATTCACCGTAAATACTCGCCCCGAGGTCTCGGCAACTTTCATTTTGGACTGATCTGTGTCTACGATTTCAGAATTGGCAATAAATAGTCTTAAAAAAACATCGCGGAATATAATTTTGTTTGTTGATCAGGAACAAAGAGTCGTACATCGATCCCTTCTTATCGCGGGAAAACTGTTTTTCCCCCGAAGTTACTTTTCTTATACTTTTTTTCTAATATTTTTTCCTCTGGTTGTTGTTCCCATTCCCTTCACCAGCGAACACCAACTACGTAGAACCAGGAAAATCCATAAAATCTCATGAAAGGCCAATGGGTCTGGGGGAACATATAGCGCTGGGGATGGGGTTGTGCTCATCCCTGGTAACTGGCTGACAGCCGGTTGGCAAACAAGTATGACTGATGATCCTTGGTGCTGTGAAACGTTGATATCGATGACCACGTATATCTGCGAAGTCTAGTTGCAATATCGTACTTCATGCTCATGTTTACCACTGGAATCTTCAATCAAATGAAAAGTCATTTTCGAGGGGACGACATTATTCCTTTATTCAAATTCCAAAAACTTTCTCAGTAATGATATACATTGGGATGAACGACAACAGCATTTCATTTCCGGCCACAAATAATCGAATGCTGAATTATTTATACCAATATTTTCCCATTGACGAGAGGATATTGGAATCAACAACGAACCTTTTCATGCTTTATGATTCCGACCTAAACATCCCTTTTTTATCGAGATTTCTGTTCAATGGATTCTACTCGCGTTAAGTAGAACATCCATAATATTCAACTGGAAATATTCACACAGGGTTGTGGGGAACATCTGCGTGCTCAATTTGAGGCTCTCATTGTCCACCGTTACCATGCGTTGACCATGTGTCAGCTGTCATCATCGAGTTTGATATTCCATCCGTTGCGTTGGATACTGAATCAGCCGTCACGGCTTTCTCGCTTTCCTGTCATAGTGAAAATCAGGAAACACTTGAGATATTGGGCAATGCTAACCGGAAAGTCATTCCCGTGTGATTGGAAATTATGATCAACCGCACCAATGTGGAGAGGGGAAGAATATTGCAGAGGGAAGGGTGTGCTGCTGTTCCCGAAACTTGAATTAATCAAAATTGAATGATTTCCTTCGATTTTTGCCCTCGATAATCAATTGATGTAGGCATATTGCTTTCTTTCATCCGAATTTATCATCAAGTTCGAAACGAAAATCGTTATTCAGGAGCGGAACTTTGAAAAGGGAAGAGGAAGTGCTCTTTTCATGAAACTTAAATTGATGCTCTGTAGCTCCTGTTCGTCATATGCAAAAGTTAAACCGAACTTCGTAAATTTTCATTGGAAGCGATCAATGAAAACGGTCTGCAAAGTAGGGGCTAATCATTTGGCTTTAAAATGCGATGAATATTATTCGTTCAATACTTTCTTTAGTCAAAATGTTGAAACCTACATGCAACTTTCGAACCTATTCATAGAAATTGGGTTCCATTGAGGAATCTGATGATGACTTATCGGAGCAATCATTAGGAAGCGAAAAACATGAAATGAATTGAATGAAATGTAATGAAAATTATTGTAACGCCTTGAGAATATAAACCGACTCAGAATTCTATAAAGTCTGCCGTTGAAATTGTCATTCTGAATATAAAACTTCCCGTATATTGGAATTGTCGTCACTTTTCATTGAGAGCAATCAATGAGACCGGTTTGCAAAACAAGGACTAATCATCATTTGCCTTTCAAACCTGATGAATCTCCCGTCATTGAATGCTCTTTCAGCCAAA